AGGAGGAAAAAAAAAACCAAAAAATGAAGAATAAACAATGCACATCCAAAGAACGCTCAAGAAAACTTCCAATATGCGGGGTAAAACGTGCTTAGAAGAAATTTAGCTCGGTTCATCTCATAAATACGGCTCTTTGCAATAGGACGAGCTAATTCACTTACACGTACAATAAAGATTCATAAAAATATACATCACGCCCGGCAATTGCATCTTCTTTCTCTATGTTCATTCTCTGCCTAGATTCTCTTTCTTGGCTTTTTTCTCTTGACTAGATTCATTTGCAATTTCACGTTTGGCTGCTTGACCTTTCCCTATCCAGAACACACCTCCGAGTGCTCGTCCCAAGCAGCAACCTAAAAATAACAGGCAGACTATTATTATTAACGAAAGTTTCTTTATGGCAAATACTCGTCTAATGCTCGTCGCCTAATGCGCAAATTGCAAAATTCTCATTTTCATCGGTTACACTGGGAATTGATATCTTCCCACGACGCTTCCTACCACCGTATAACCACCGAGCCCCATTACTCCATCACTTACGAATATTACCCAATAATAAACGGATTACATCGTTGTATAATGGCACACCATCTTCTTAGAATACGCTAAGCGAACTGAACGGATCGAGTGAGTGGGAGGGATCGTACCTGACATTCACGACTGCAATACCACTGATTGCCACATCCAGCGCATACAAATTGTGCTGCACGCTCGTGACAGCCTTGGCAACGTGGTGGGCTGTCTCTGTCATCCCTGTTATCCCTGGTTCCCATGGAGAGCCTCGAGTCTCTTTCGTCGATGATCGATGTCTCTTCCTGCACATCGTCCTTACAAAATCAAAACCAATCCACATTAGCGCTTTCTCGCTCGTTCAAACTTATAATTCGCATTCGTCGGCTATTTGCCAACAATACATCAATACTTACAACATGAATCAAATTATTTGAGTGCGTCTGTATTGGATTATTGACGACTGGAGTTATTGTAATTTCTGTCCGAGCCTGTAATGAAATTTTACGACACGACATTAGGAAAGTAGACCGACGTGTGCTAGTAACAACGCCCGAAGCCCTAATTTGCTCCCATAGCCTCTTGTTAAATTAACAAAATTTTGACAAAATATCCGTTCCGCTTTAATCGGCTTTAACTTTCATAAGGATTATATAAATTAATGAAATTGCGAACAACAAATTCGTATATCTTCGAGATAGATAGATAGATAGCTATAGATTGGCTCGATCGGGAAATCGATTGATCGAATAGTCAGTCAACGATTTGCAGAAAATCTTATGGAAAAAAAAAAAAAAAAAAAAAAAAAAAAAAAAAAATTAACAACAATGACAAAAACGTACCTTGGACGAGGAAAGAAAATCACTGATAGAAACAGAACTGGCGCTTTGGTATGCTTGCAAAAGATGCTGAGTGGCTGTCTGATGAGAGCTCGCCGTTATTGTTGGTGCGTTTCTCTCTCTCTCTGGCGCCGTTAACAGTCTGGCCAATGTCGGCGAGAACGTGGTCGGCCTTGGCGACTGAGATTTCGTTAGAATACCATGGAGAAGCGAGCCCGAGGTCTGGGGCGCGGAATTTTGCGTCGGCGGTGGAGCGGCGACAGGGTGCAGCGTTACGTCTGGATAATTTTGAGGTGTTTTTATTGGCTCTCCTACAGAACACGAGATATGACATTTTATTTTAATCGTATTGGCGGTTGATTAAAATAAAGCTTCGCGACATTCGCCCGGCTGGATGAGTCGAGTTAACGGCAACGTCTACGCTTAAACTCAATACTCGACACAAAATTAATCAGTCCATCCGAAAAAATTATACGTTCAAATAAATGGCCGCGACGTCGCGGCGAGTAATTAATTTATGCGACAACGGCATTGCGCGTTACCTAACGTAAACACACGTAACCCTTAAAATTCTTAAATATAAGCAACGTCCCCCTTAGCCTCGACTTTACATATCCTTATACAGATCCTTGGCCCATACCTCGGCCACTTTGACTCGACTCATCATCATTCGCTTCCCTTTCCCCTTGCGACGGGCTTTAATAACACTTACCTTGCTGTTGGCTCAACTTGGCAAATTGCACTAGTACATCCTTAAAGCTCATGGCATTATTAGGATCGCTGACGTTGGAATTGCTCTTGCACGAGTCGGTGCTCGAAGGCCGCGAGTCCATATTCCCAACAGTTTCGACCATTGCCCCGCCAGCCCCAAGGCCTACGTTAACGGAATTTCTCATTCTACGACCCCTACTACAAACGGTAATACAATCAATTAGTTGGCCTGAAAAAAAATGGCGCTCGACTACAATAGATATTACGTTGAAGAAGTGCTCGACTACAGCGCGACGCGACCGTGCTGTTGCTTCGGTGCAGGATAAAACGAAGCAGGATATTGTGATTTTTATTTTGACATCGACCAATGTGAATACTGCACCGGGCAAATGCACCGTTGCGCACGTTTAATTGGATGATGGGCCAATGGGGCTTGGGCTCGAAGATATTAAAGTAGGAGTCGAGGAGTCGAGGAGTCGAGGAGTCGAGGAGTCGAGAAGGTGAGTCGGACGAGAGACGAGAGACGAGAGGAGGTGTCGCTGGTGGGGCTGGAGTGTGGCGTGGTAAGGTAGCCGAGCGTGATACCGACCGTCTAGGCACCGTCTCGGGATGTCGTAGCCTGTAGTCGGCGATGATGGATCTGACGTCGACGATCGGGCCCTGCCTGCCCTCGCCGATCTGCCTGTGCTCCGGGCTCTGGGCGTCGACGACGATCTGCTTGGGCCCGTTCTCGGTGACGATCTGATGCTTGGAGGACTGCTGGTAGCCCGACTGGGCCTTGGAAATCCGCTCGCGCTTTAGGGCGGGAGAGCTGTCGCGCGAAAGACTGCCGCCGCGCTGCTCCTCCTTCGGCACCACGAGGCCACCGCACTTTTCCTTCATATGGGCGTTGCCGTCGTAGTGTTGCTGGCCGAGGACGAGATTAGCCGGGGGCAGGAAGCCGTCACCGGCCACGGGCCCGTTACCCTCCATGAAGCCCATTATCTGTCTGCGGCGCTCGATGCGCAGATACGCCTCCTCCTTCAGCTTCCGCATGCTCAGGATCTCGTTCCACTCCATCTCTTTGGCGCGCGCGAGCTCGTCGAGGTCCTGCGGGAAAAAGTGGAGAATTGACGATTAAAGGGTTCGAGCGTGATGAAATCGAACGGGAAGTCGAAAGAAATGTCTTCGCGTTCGTTCGTTCGTTCGTTCGTTATCCATTCGCGCTCACCTGGACTTCGGCGCGTAGTTGTTCGGCTCTCGTGGCTAGTTGCTCGGCGGTGAACTTGTCCGAGCCAATGAGCGAATTGATGAATTGCTCCCTCTGATCGAGGCAGAGCTTCTTCGGACTGGAGTTGCCGTTGGAGGAGGAGAGGCTGAGCGCACCGACTGATACGGCCCCCCCACCCAGGCCCACGTCTGCCGAGCGCCGCTTCCTGGTCTCTCGCATCGGCGGCTGCTGCTCCCGGTGCTCCTCATGCTGGTGTTGCTGCTGGTGCTGCTGATGCTGGTGATGGTGGTGCTGCTGGTGCTGGTGCTTGGCTGCGGCGCCACGCTGACCGCCGACTCTGCCCTGCTTGGTCGTAGTCGTCGGTTGCGTCGTAGTCGTCGTCGTCGTCGTCGTCGTCGCCGCCGCCGCCGTCGTCATTGTTGTCGTTGACGATGTCGCCGCCGCCGCCGCCGCCGCCGCTGCCGCCGCCGCCGCCGCCGCCGCCACCGCCGCCGCTGCTGCCGCAGCCGTCGTTTGCTCGTAATGTAGCTTCGACGATTTGGTCAGAATCACCTGTTGGACCGCATGAGCAATAAATCATTGACAAATCTTATTATTATTGATTTTTCTTTAATTCCCAGTCTTATATATGCTTCGACTATAAATTCCAAATTGTTGATAAATTTTTTGTCAGCGAGCTAACGAGCCGAGTCAAGGCCCCCGCCGCTGCTCTCGCTTACAAGCTACACGAATGTTCTTTCCTCTCCCTCGCAACACTGTATACGACGTATCATATTTTGTTGATGTTATTCCACTTATCATGCAGCCATTGTTAGCTTTAATACTTAGATTCCAGTTGGAAAAATTCTATTCGCGTTCATACAACAATGCGACGAGCGTACTTCATTACGCCAATTCGTCTCTTCATAGGATTATTTTTTCTTTTTTTTTTTTTTTTTTTTTTTTTTTTTTTTGTCTTTTTATTCTTTTATTCTTTACACGATAGATAGAGCGACTTAAAAAAATAACATTATCAAAACATACGATGAGAGTATTATTATTATTATTATTATTATAGTAAAGATCAAAAATTTCGATATCTACCAAGTTTAAGACTTAATAAAACAAGACATCGTGTAATAATAACATTTGTATTTAACCGCATGTATGTAATACTGATAAACATTAATGATTTGATAATGAAGAAGAATAATAGCCGAATAACAACACTGCTGATATTTATATTATATTCGGAAATCTAGCTTTTTCGGCGACTTAATGAATAAATCGGACTCTGCACGATTTAGTAAATACATTGAAACCCTTAAAATGTCATTACTTATACTGATTTAGTCGATTATTATGCGGATCGCGTGTCTCGCAGCTCGCAAGTAATACGATTTGCCGATGATTTTTCATGAAAGAGAATACGGATGTCGGCCATTGGGTAAAATTGTTTAAAACTTTGATGCCTAAGGTGTCCGCATGAAGGGAAAGCGATGCTCGACTCTCGAACGTGAATTTACCGTGAAAGAGCCTGTATGCCCGTCCCCCGTCTCCCAAAAAAATCAAAAGGAAAAGAAAGAAAAAGAAGGCAAAATTTAAACGCAAGCAACGCGTCACCGCCAACGGCCGCTTCTCAGCACTAAATACACGAAGAAATCATCAATTTACCTGGGGCTGATGCTGAATCAAGTCATTATCAATGAGCGACTCCTTCTTCTCCTTCTTGGGGAAGGACGACGAATGTGGGCAGTGAATCAGATTTCGATCGGCGGAGGCCGTCTCCTCGGGCAGTGCGGCGCCGTTCTGCTGACTCTGCGGGACCTTGGGCGACTTGCGCGAGTCCTCGTCGTCGACGCCGCGCTTCGACTCCGCCGCAGAGTCGACGACCTTTTTCCCGTTGCCACCGCTGCTCTCCATCGCATGCATCTTGTTCAGGCTGTGGAGAAAAAGGAGAGGATGATTATTACCGGCGATCTTAATTCTTTTGCTCCTGTAACGGCGAGTTACGATTGGAGGGAGGCTGTGAGCGCGATCTCTTCGTTTGGGCGTAATACACCACGAAGAATTAATGAATTTCCTAATTTTGCGCGATTATCGATAATTATTAACGGGCGCGCGAGAGCCTTAGCAATCACTACGCGAAGAAGTATGTAAGTCGAACGAACTATGGAGTTCGAACGGCAATGGGAGCATTTGCCTTTGCCTTATTTTTATCGTCGTGGCGGTGCGTTAGAGCTTATTTTCAAAGTTTATTCTCAAAGCTTAACGCTACTTTAGAAAAGAATTGGCTGCTCGATATTGTAGGTCGGCTTTCGAATTCGGCGTAATTAAATCGCCGTCGATGTCGAATAAAAACCATGTCGGTCGTTAAATCGATCTACCCAACCCTTGCAAATTAACGGTACAACAATGTTCCATGCGGTCGCTAATCTCCCATACGGCTACGCTACAGTTTATATGGTAAAATAATTGTTTATAGAATTTATGTGATTCGGTGTGCGGGGAATGCGCGTAATGCACTCTTATCGAATCCATTCGTCAAACTATAAATCGCGTGTAGTGGCTCGGGGAGGTTCGATTAATCGCTTTATTTACACGAACGGTAAGCAGGTGCGAAAGCCACGGCGGCGACTACCTCCCGATAAAATACCATCCATCCCCACTCCCGATGTAAAATCTTTGGATGCGCATTGCATAGCGCTCCGACAGGCAACTCCACTCGAAGGCCCGAAAATTCTCGGAGACAGAGGACTCATTGTGGATAAGGAACGCGACCACCGGCTACCATCAGCCATCTCCATTAGCTTAGGACGATTGAGCACGCAGAGGGAGGAATAAAGCTCGGTGAGAAGTCGATGCTCCGGATAAAGAGAGAATTCGTCGATAAAAGGCCAATGTGAATAGCGAGCGGGAGGACGATTGAGAATTTGGTAAGATTAAGAAAAAGTGAGGGGCTGGTGTTGAAAAATCACGGACCGAGGTGAAGGCAGCGAGTGAGGCACATCGTGCTTCGAACAATCGATTCGTACTTTCAACATTTAGCCGAAGGCCACTTGGAAATGCCATAAGTTCGGTCGTGTATGCACACTGATAAGCGAGATCGTTAAGTTTTTCGTCACGGCGATTATACGGATTACTTACTTATTGATGGTTAGGCAAACGACTACGAATGAGCGTTCGCGAAAACAAAATAGATTGTAAAAGGTTTTTCTTCATTGCAACGTTAAATCATAATCCATTAGAAATTTTTACCGAGGCTATGCGCGCATTTAATTACCGCTATCCCGAGCGCACTTTAACGTTAAATTGAGAAATTCACTATTTTTATAAGAAAGCCTTGAATGACCTCCATAACCGAGATTCAAATGTCGAATTTACCAATTTTACCGAGCAAGAGGCTGAAAACGCAAACAAATACTTTTTTCTTTTACTTTTTTATTTTTACTACATGTCATGCCATCGTGTTGCAGTGAGAACTATGAGAATCGGATAAATAAATACAAAATTTAATGAATACCTATTGTAGGAATAGTTGTATTCCGTCTCTCGGTCACTACGTTAACATTGTGCTTTCTTACTTTAATAAAACACCTATTGATTCACATTAATCTTTAAAATATTTTAATATCCAATCCCGAGCTTATAGATTATTAAAAAAAAAAAAAATAAATAAATAAATAAATAAAACAATGATAACTAACATTGGTATGATTGAGATGGCACAAAAACTAACTACGTTGACAATAAATGTAAATATTATTTATTGATGTATTATAGATGAGGCAATTAAAAAACTTGTTTGCACGTAAGGGAATTATTAATAATGAACAGAGAATGTTAATGATATATTTCCAAATACGATTCTTGGGAGGAAAACAAAACGAAAAACAAACAAAAAAAAATAAATTAAACTTTAAAATGAAAGTACAAATTTTTAATAATAATAATAACTTTAATAATAAATTTCTATTCATTTCAAAACGATCGATTTTGGTTAAGAAAATTTTTATGTAAATATCAAGCCAACTTCCCCTATTTTGTTCAATGTTCGAAAAGCGTCGAGGCTTAAAAACGATTAAAACAAGGCCCAAAATAAGCGGGAAAAAGTATTCTTAAGCTATACGTACAATAATAATGATAATGATAATAATAATAACAACAACAACAACAACAACAACAACAACAATAATAATAATAATAATAATAAGAGAAATAAGTCAAGAGAAAACAAAATAGAAATAATAAATTCATTGTACATAATCTTAGTAATTTTCAAAAAGTTGAAGTATCAAGGATATTAAAATAATCGATTTATATTTTGGGACTTTAATGAATTTTTTGCCTAAACAAGATTTGCCCATACCATTGATAAGATGAGATTAACTTTATATTACAACCGAGTTTGGTTTAGAATTAGTAAGTGCAGAGTTATTGCCAAACACAATCCTCGTACTTTTCCTTACTACAACTGTAATCCTAATGATACCGACTTAATAATAATAATAATAATGACGATGATAGTGATGCTTATAGTGACAATAATAAAAGCAATCGCTGATCCGTCATATGCGAGTAAATGACGTTTTCGAATGAACAAGTCATACCACAACAATAAAATAAAAAGATCGAGCCAAGTAACCAAGTTTATGATATAAACTAACTGGATCTTGGCGTTTCCAGGGATAAAAATTACGGCAGAGAAGATAAAGAAACAGATGAGAAAGGAGTGAAAATTAGCGGTGAACGAGCAGAGCCGCGATAACACGTGGATATAAAAAGACTGCGAATCCTAGTGGTGGAGGGACGGGGTACGTTGTTATGATTTATTAATGACAGTCGAGACCGGAAGCCCATCATCTAGAATAGATGAACTGTCCGCGCGAGCAAGAGTTTCTTAAACTACGAGAAGACATTCACGACATTGTCAATTTCGTTCCTTTCATTCCCTATTCTTTACACTTTTTTTTCTTTTAATCCTCTTGCTCGTGTGTCCTGTATGTCAATATTATCTTGCAGCGACTCAAAAGTATATTTCCATTTACTTTTTTGTACATCTTTAACGAGCATTGGATTAAGAAAAACTATAGTCTTGAAGTATCGGAGTTGTTCTTTTTTTTTTTTTTTTTTTTTTTTAAAATTTTTTTTTTAAACAATATATTGCTTCGGATATATGGAAAAAAAAGAAGAAAAATTGTAATAAAAAATATTATTGAGCTAAAATTGACGCTTTAAATTATTAATATTATATCAAATTAAATTCTATACACAGTAAACAGTGTTATAAATATAAATTAAATATTTCATAAGTTCATACAGTGGTAGTTAAATCAAAATTTAAATACGTTGCACAAATTATTGTTAAAGATTTATTTGTTTCAAGTTCACGCATATTATACAACATAGAAATTTGCTAGAATTACAATGAAATACAGTTGACGATATTCTTCTTGGGAACTTTCGTCTACTTTATATACTAAGAGTCAACAGTGTGATAAGGAAGGGCATTTAAAATATTTAAACCCTCGTCAAATTTCATTATTGAACGGTGAATTAAGTTAACTTTCTCCATTGATGTTACTTGTAATTTATGTCTCATAAAATTATTTGCACGTTCGAGTAGCTTATTAATATTGATATATTGTATCGCACGAATAAAGGAATCATCTGTCAAATTTTACTTTCATAATTTTATGTTATATATATATATATATATATATATATATATATATATATATGTATATATATACACATATTTATATAATTAATAGCAAAAAGTTTCGACACGTTGAAAAACTTACAATTACGAATTTCAATTTATTGTTTTGAGTATGCAGACTTTAATTTATCTTAGATTACACATGTGCGTATGTATGTATACATGTATGGATATTTAAAAAAAATCAGTAAAATAGGTAATGTAATAAATGAAGCTTTTATGTTAGAAACAAATGGTAATTAAAGTTTCTTATATTGTCTTATTGAAATTTAAGGAAAGTATTACAAAAGGTTTAATAAGTTAATAGGAATAGATTTAATTATCATGAATGAACGAAGAAAGAAACGTTGAAAAGCGAATATGAACGAATATTTTTCATGTATTATTTGTTATTTTTCATTATTAAATAATAATAATAATAATAATAATAATAATAATAATAATAATAATAATAATAATAATAATGAAACGAATACTAGAATGAAATGAAACTAGAAGGAACGTAACGTTTCTCTAAACAAATAACTGTTTATTCGAATTTGATTTAAGAGAAAACTAGATAATGAAAAACAGATGAGTGAGCGAGAGAATTAATACAACAAACAGAGATGTGAATAATAAGTGAAGCATTCCATTGAAGTAATCGTCCGAGTATTATTGTACGAGGAATAGAAAGTAACGAATGTGGTTTCTCAAAATATCATATAAAATAATAAATTCGAGAAGGTGAAACGAAACGTGCCTGCTTCCACGAAATCATATTTTATTCTAAAAATACAATTTCTTCTTACAAGCTAGAATCGGTAACGCGAATTATATATTCCAAGTCATCGCGTTATAAATTGCATCAATCCAAAAATTATGCAAAAACATCGTGTTGTATAGACGGTGTATGTGTGTTCGTGTGTGCGGCAAGCGACTTGATCATTCGGAGTAAGGGTCAAAGGGATGGGAAACTGTATATACGAGGGAAATGCGATAAAAAGGGATAGAATGAGTATCTGTCGAGGTAAAATTGTAGTCGCGTAGAAAAAATGAAAATTGCCGGGGAGAGTAATAGAACTTTGTGTGAGCAAAGGGTATTTCACTGGCAGGAACAGGCATTAAAGAAATCCACACAAGTGTCACAAAATTATACCGAAGCTTGAAAAAAGTCGGACCCACGGTTTTTTCTGTTTTCTTTTTTTTTCTTTTCTTTAGGCATATCACACGTGTGCGTG